GCCCAGACATCCACACTCAGCTCAGGGCCCTGCAGCCTGGAACAGAAGGGATAGCAAGTCAGGTTCACTCGTGTTCTCAGAGAGCCACCTGGAGCAGCACAGGGAGATTAGGGGCAAAGGGAGGACCAGCCACTGTCTGGAGTTGTGGGGACTCAATAACCATGGTGTGTCAGTCCTGAGAAGATCTAAAATTGTCCATTTACAGGACGATCTAGGAATGGGAGTTTTGGAGGTAAAAGAAAAACAAAAGGAGGACAGTTAAAAATGTCTTAAGTTGAGAGCCAAGTCAGCCTAGAGTCACCGAGCATTAGGATTAAAAAACAAGGATTTAAGGGCCCAGGGATTTGGAGGAGAGAATTAGGAGGCAATAGAGGCAGGAGGGGTCTAGACGGGATATTGAGGAGTTGAGCTCTGGAGAATTTGTAATTACAGGGATCTCATTTGAGGAACCAGCACTAGGCACTAGATCAGAGACTGATCTAAGCTCCGAGGAGCTGAGAGACGTGGCATTTTGGGGTGGGGGAAGGGATTACTACCTGTGTGTGGAATTGTCTCTAGCTGGAGGTGCAGCCCGACCAGTCGGAGGCCCGTGGTGTCCCAGGCGAAGTGCCTGAACTCGGCCTAGCCCCAAGCTGTGGAGAAGCCGGGCTAGGCCCCCCGCCGTCAGTGTCCCGTTTTCTCCATACAGGCCAAACAGCTGGGCCAGGTAATGGTTCTGCTCCTGCTCCGCAGGGCCCAGGTTGGTGACAGAGCCCCCTGCCCAACCCAAGACCACCCACACGCATAGACCAGCCAGCAGATGACTCCCGAGGGGTCGCATCACTGGGAAAGGGCAATATTTAGAGGCTCTGGTTTTGGCTTCTATTCCCCCTGGAACATCCTGAAGACTGTGCCCTGGAAGAATAAGGAGGATGCAGTGGGGGTGCTGCTCCACTCCCCAGCTCAGGCCAGAGAGACCTGGCCCCACTCATACCTGCCTCCCACCTGAGCCCAGCAGCCGCCCCCTCCCTAGCCTTTCTCCCTCCCCGGTGCATCTTTCTGAAGCAGCCTTTCGTTTGCCAGTTCCTAGGTCACCTCTCTGACCCAGAGCTCTCCCCAGAGCTGACCATTCTTCTGTCTCCCAAACCCCACTCCTCAACCTTGCCCCGCTTCTCTAACGCCCCAGTTCCCAGGGCCTCACCCCAACTGGCAGTACATGAGCTGTCACCTCAGGTCCCCGTCAGGCTTTGCTGTGGACATTAAGAGGTTCCTGAGTCAGGGAGGGGGAACCCGCCTCCAGGTGCCCGGGTGGAATGGGGCCACGTCATACAGAAGGCTGAGATGGACAAACCCCTTCTCCTAGCCCCCCTGCCTTGGGGCGGGGACAGGGGTGGAGCCAGTATGGGAAGGCTCACATCAGGGAAGAGTTAATGGTTCACTGGTCTCTGGGGTGGGGGTCAAAGGTCAGTTACTGCTGGGCCCCCGAATAGGGAGGGGCCACCCTCTGCCCCTGGAAAAACCACATGGCTAAGGAGAACCTGGAACTGGTTTTTTCCTTTCAAACAAGTTAGCCCACCCTAACCCACGTAGTACCTTCAGTCCTTTCCTGCATGCACTCCCGCCCCAGCTGCCTTACACCTGGCACAGAGCTTCTTCAACCCCCATCCCCACTTCCTTCTGGGGAGGCTGGACCCACGTGTGTGAGGGGAAGCTGGGGAGGGGGAGAGGCAGAGAGGTGGCAACCCCAGTTACGTGCACAGCAGAGAAACTGTTCTTAGCAATAACTTATCCCACAAAGAGTAAAGAGCCAGAGCCTTAGGAATCAATGACTAAGAAAGGAGAAGCCCTAGAGGCCGGAGGAGACAGGCACCTGGCTCCCCTCACACTCTTGACCTGTTCTAAGACCAGAGGCAAAGTGTAATTGGAGCAAGTGGTCCAGGGGGTCCAGGCTGGCATTACCTGATGGGAGGAGACAGGAAGGACACCCAGAGGAAGGGGGACACAGCCTTCTTGTTGGTTCCAGCTTGTGGGGGGTAGACAGGCAGGCGGGCAAGGGTCACCTGCAGGGAGACAGGGAGGGGAGGGACACTATCTTAAAGGGGCAGGCCTGCTTTGCTTAGTCCTCCTTACCTATAACTACTGTGCGTTCACCTCCTAGGGGCACCCCACCTTCCCAAATGCCTGACCGCTTACCTCTTTTTTTTCCCACAAAAAAGCAAAGGAGTCCAGTATAGAGTGGTAACATTTATTAGGAAAGAGGAGTTTCAGTTAGACCCCCTCATCTCACATACACAAGAAACAGACTGTAACTGTCCTTTCTAAAGGAAGGCAGGCAGAGGGTCCTGAATCCCAGGAAACAGGCAGCTTCAGCTGGACAAGGGTGAAGTATGGGCTTAGGGTAGATAAGCCAACTGTTCCCCACGTCTCCGGTGAAGTTTAGTGCCTAAAATATTGCTCTCCCCGCCCCCCACCCCAAGCCAGCAACCCAGTAGTGGCTGTCTTGTATCCGGCAGACACTCGATTGTTGGTGGGAAGAGAGAATCTTGCTATCTCTTGCTGCTCCTCCGGGTTTCTTTGCCATTACTGACAGGGTTGCTGGAGGGGCCAGGAGGGCCAGCAGGTGTGTGGTTGGGCTGACTTCGAGTTATTCGAGTGCTGGGGGGGTGAGAGGGAGCATGAGGGGGATGCTGACCACCACCAGGTGGAGCGTTCAGTCCATTCCCATTCTGGCTCTCAGAGGCTAGTTGTGAGAAAAGAAGAAACACAGGAATTAGAGTGTGAAGATGGAGGCGGGATGCAGATGGGAGTAAATAAGTAAACAAAACATTTTGCAAGGCTGACCTAGAGGGGAAGGTTCCAGGTCTGCACCCAGAGACCTCCCTGAGTACACCAGGCATATGTGTGCCCATGATCTGGAGCTGGCTGAAACTGGGAGTAAATCATGGCATCGAGACCCTCGGGGCCAGCAGTTGGCGTAATGGCTATGTCGCTGGACTCCCATGTAGTCAACCGTGGTTCAAGTCCCGGACCTGGTGGCTTAAACTCATGCCAGGTGCATGTGCGTGCGTGCCCAAGATCCCAAGAGGAGAATGGAGGAGAAGGGATTGCGGGGTGGCCATCCCCCCAAGGGGGGTGATTTCTCGCTTTTTGCCTCTCTATCTCTCTGTCTTTCCAGTGAATGCACACTGCCTATAGGAAAAACCTCTTAAAAAAAAAAAAAAACTACATATGCACAAAACACCCTGTTGGGGTACTCTTTCTCTCTCTTGCTCATGGAAGAAAACACTTTAAAAAAAAAAAAAAGAAAGAAAGAAAGAAAAAGATGGGCTGTCAGGTGACATGGTGGCTAAGATGCTAGACTCCCCTTGGCTGACTGCAGTTTGAATCCCAGACCTGGAAGCTTGCTTTCTCATGTTCCCTCTCTTTGACTCTCTCTAGGCAACTTTTTAAAATAATTATTTTATTTAACTTTATTTATTTAAATTTGATCAAAGGGACAGAGTGTGAGAGTGAGAAAGAGAAAGAAAGTGAGAAGGCAAGCTGCCAGGTCTGGGACTCGAACCACAGTCAGCCATGTGGGAATCCAGTGTCTTTAACCACTATACCACATGCTGGCCCCAGCAAAAAAACTTTTTGAGAGACTTGTGCTATAGGGCACTTGCCAGAGAAAGAAAAGAGACAGAGAGACAAAAGTGAGAAATCATCCCCCAGGGGGATGGCCACACTTCAATCCCTTTTCCTTCATTCTCCTCTTGGCATTTTGGGCACACAAACACACATGCCTAGCATGTTTCAAGCCACCAGGTCTAGGACTCAAACCACAGTCAAGCACCTTAACCATATGCCACCTGCTAGTCTGTCTAGTCAAATTATAAAATAAAATTAATTAATAAAATTAAATAATAATTCTTATAAAAATGAGATTTACCAAAAAAAAAAAAAAAAAAAAAAAGGGCAAAGGGGTTAC